AGAGAGACAAAGATAGACAGACAGTGAGAGAGAGAGAGAGAAGGACAGTGAGAGAGAGAGAGAGAGAGACTGAGAGACAGACAGTGAGAGAGAGAGAGAGAGAGACAGACAGTGAGAGAGAGAGAGAGACAGACATTGAGAGAGAGAGACAGAGAGAGACAGACAGTGAGAGAGAGAGAGAGAGAGAGAAAGGGAGAGAGATAGTGAGAGAGAGAGAGAGAGGGAGTAGAGTGACAAGTGAGAAGAGGGGCAGCTTATAGGCAAACATATGTATGTATACCCCTCTTAGTAATAAAGCGCCAAAGGAAATCTAATCTCAAATTCAATATTTAGCATATATACATACATATATTATAAATATTTATTTGGCAATTCGTGTTATATATTATAATCTTCTCTGCCAGTTATATCTCATTCTGCAGTTTTATCTAATTTGCAAAGCTTTGCCACTGTTTGCCAAGCACTTAACGCATCACATTACCAATTGTTTTATAGCACACAAATGTGCAACCGACTCGTGCCATCTCCGCTTATCTAGCATATCTAAATACACAATATATATAAACATATATACAATTAAGCATTTAGCACAGCTTCTCTAATAGTTCTGTTTATCGCTGTGCCAGGTGCTAATGAGCTTGACCTGGCCAAAAGCAAAAGCCGGAGCATTAGATAGCAACAGCGACCCACGACAATATGCAACTGCAACTGAATGTGCTAGAGCTGGCAGCCATTTGTGGCAAGTTGCATGCCTGCGGCTGCAACACACAATGAAACTGCATTGAAATTTGGTGCAGCTTAATTGAAGAGTTTGAAAGTTCGTCTTTTTGAATATGCGATGCACTTGTTGCTGAAGTGCAGCAACAACAGACAACAACAACAGCAGCAGCAGCAGCAGCAGCAGACGCCAGCGGATGCAATTCAATACAAACAACAAGAACAACAACAACAACAACAAAATCCAGAATAAATGCCCAAAAAACATGAAAACAGGTCTTTAAAGCCGACGTCGCGACGTCGGCCAACGGTCAAACTGCATCAAGCTAAAGGCAAGCTATATAAGAATATATAGACATATATATATATATATACTTATATATATATGTATATCTAAGTATATATATACATACATATAAAAGTGCATATATACATATATGTATATGTATATATTTCTATATACATTATGTATGTGTGTGTGTGCTTATGTCTGTGTGTTATTGGGGTTTGGCAATGCAGTTGCTAAGCTTTTGCCTGCTGCGGTGAATGCATTTTATGCGGTTGTTGTTGTTGTTGTTGTTGCTGCTGCTGCTGCTGCTCCTTGCATTTCTATACACTTGAAGCAAAAAAAGGCATTGTGCATATGTCAGAGAATGTGCGACGTCTTAGATAAACCTCGATAAACTTAATCGTCTTTGTATGAATGAATATGAATCTAGCTATAGTCTCAGTTCTAGCTAGCCTGAAGGCTCAATGAGTATCAATAATTTTGAATCAAATTAAATCACCCTAAATATTTAACAGTTGAGGATTAAAGACTGTTCAAAATCTATTGAGTCTAACCAATTTATCGATATACAGTCGAATACATTTATAGCTACTCCGCTTATAGCGTCTGTACGGCTATAGCGACGAAAGTTCTGGTCGCGAGAAAAACTTTTCTGATCAAACTTATACGGTTAAAGTGACTTCTAGGTCCAACGACTCCGCTTATAGCGTCTCCACGGTTATAGCGATAAAAATTCGAATTCCCAGAAAAACTTTTCTGATCAAACTTATACTGTTAAAGTGACTTCTAGGTCCAACGACTCCGCTTATAGCGTCTGTACGGTTATAGCCACGAAAATTCTGGTTCCCAGACATACATATACGCTTATACCGTTGGTTGCTTAGGCGTCTTTCTAACCAGATTCTACTGTATTGCAAGTACAGTCTTAATTTCTAGACAAGCCCACGAATTTCCGTAAGGGTATTCAATTTGCGTCAGTTGCACCGTTAACTGTTTAACCCAATGTGCATGTTGTTGTTGTTGTTGTTGTTGTTGTTGGTCTTGTCGTTTGCTTTAGCTCCTTCAAACCAAATTTTTGCTTCAACTGCTATTCTTGTTGTTGTTGTTGTTGTTGTTGCTTTGTAAACACTGTGGAATTTCAAGCATTTGCGCGCGCAAAAATGAATAAAAAAAAATAAAACAAAACAAAACAAAACTTTTAGTACAGTAAACACTCCAAAATTTGTGCAGAAACTACGCAGACTGACGTAGACTAGACTAAATCAATAATAACAGACGAAACGATAATAATGCAAATGGAAAATAAGCGCAGAACTACTAACAACAACAAAGGCTAGTATTTTATAATATATATTAAAAAATAAAATAAATAAATAAGAGAGGAGAAAAAATGCAATTCTAAAAATAGCCAAGCCTCTTGCGTCTTGCACGAGGCACGACAGGAATGCAGCTCCGATGCAAGTGCGTCTGCTGCACTTGGACGCTGTCCGCGGCGGCTACGTCAGGCCGGGCTCTGTCTGTGTGCGTGTGTGCATGTGTGTGTGTGTGTGGCAGTGCAGACAGCGTCTGGCTGTGCCGGGTTAACCTGGATAGCCACTGGCTGCCAGGCAACAGAGCCAGCCAGCCAGTGAGCCAGCCGAGCGACCAGCCCAGCGACCATCATATAAAATGTCGCAACGCATGTTAACGCAATAATTTTTTTGCTCTTTTGCATACCCTGGCAAGCATTAAAAGTGGGTAAGCCGAGCATATGGGCTCTCGTTGCATAAACGAAAATTCGATTGAACAAGTTTTTGCTATTGATAAACTGAGATGAGCTCATAGAACTCGCAGTTCTATAGCTTCGTCTCTCTGATCTAGACAGCTACAAAATTAGCAGGCTTAAGATTTTCTATATATATATAAAGTCTTATTTGCGTGTTGCATTATTATCATATTAGATTATATATTAGGAATGTTTAGTCAATCTATATTAGCATTCGTTTTTTTTTTAATCCATAAAAATCAAGTTTAAAGTATAATTTTTCCCATATTTCATGTTATATGATGTTTCTCTGATTGTATTGCCATCAAAGAGAGCAACATTAATGCCAAACATAAGTGAATCATGATACTTCAAAGACTTTGAGCTTTGGCAGCTGGTTAAACAAATCCAATAGTTTTAATAGCTATATTACATTTTATCTAATATCAAACATTTCAAGCTATCAATTAAATTTAATATAAAATTTAAATACCCCAAAAAGTTCAGGAAAACTAAAAAATGTTACGTAAATACTTTTTATACCCTGAACCCATTGAAAATGGGAAATCAGGGTATAATGGTTTTGTT